CGGCATTCTTTCCAAGAATCAACAAGTTATAACCATCTGCTACATCATCTGGTATCAGAGCCAAAAAAATCCTAACTTGCCCTTGATTGCAGCATGCCTCCAAAACGCCGTCAACCTGGCCGTGATGATCTCGCTGATAGTGTTGCACTCCTTCACCAGTGATACGAGACGATGGCTGCCCAACTCGCTGAAATTCTAACCCTCGTTCGTCCGCCTCTTGCGCAAAGGAACGTGGCAGATGAAAACCCTTTTGCCCCCTTGCAGAACCCAATACCTGACATCCACCCAGCCGCTGCAGCACCTCAACCACCTGCCGTTGCGCCAAGGGTGCCCGCTGTAGTACCAAATCCACCCGTCTTCATGCACGGTGATCGTCGTTGGGAATTGGCTTTTAAGGTAGAAATTCCCGAATTTTTTGGAGGGCTGCAACCTCACGAACTCTTGGATTGGATCGCTGCAGTGGACGAGATTTTAGCATTCAAGGAAGTGCCGAAGGATAAACAAGCCTTGCTCATCGCAACGCGCTTCCGTGGAAAAGCCACAGCTTGGTGGCAGCAACTTAAAATTTCACGGACACGTGATGGAAAAGAATAGATTCAGACATGGACTAAATTACAAAAACACTCTCGTTGCTTGTTTTTGCCCTACAACTATGATCGCACGCTCTATCAACAGCTACAAAATGTCCAACAAGGTACGCGTTCCATTGATGAATACGCCTCTGAATTTTTTCTTCTTCTCATGCGTACAGGTCTTGTCGAAACTGAGCACCAATTGGTGTCGTGGTTCATTAGGGGTTTGCGCCAACAGTTTCAAGACACGCTCAATTTATTTGACCCTGAAACTGTTTCAGAGGCACATCAACGTGCCCTTGTGCTCGAAGCCCAGTTTTTGCGGCACCCTTCGAGTTATGGCATCACCCCGGCCCGCCCCTCCACCACACCAGGCCGCAGCCAGCCCCAAAACACCACATCGGCGGCTCGCACCTACACTACGGCGACTCCACCACCACCTCGTGCCCCTCCTTCCAACGTCAAGTGCTTCACATGTGGAGAAGTAGGTCATGAGCTTGCCCTACTTCAAATCATCGTGGCATGTTCGCTGATGGAACTATCGAAGAGATTGAGCCGCTTGGCGACCCAATTTTTGACCGGGAACCAGAACACCTGGAATGTTATGAGACATGTGATATTGGACCGACTTTGATTATCCGATGATATTGTTTGACTCCTAGACAACCAGAGGATGATTGGTGTTGCACAAGTCTTTTTCAGTCCACTTGCACAATTGGGGGACGTGTGTGCTGCTTCATAATTGATTCCGGTAGCTGTGAGAATGTCGTCTCTCTGACGTAATTGACAACCTGCAGATCCCCACCGATTACCACCCAAAACCGTATAAACTGGCATGGCTTAAGCTAGGTTCCGAAATTTTGGTAACTCGTCGAGCTCTAATTTCTCTTTCAATTGGAACTCTTTATACTGATAATGTGCTCTATGATGTGCCAATTGATGTTTGTCATATTTTACTTGGCTGACCTTGGCAATTCGACCAGAATGTCACCCATGATGGTCGAGCAAATACATACAGTTTTGTGTTTCAGGACACCAAAATTATCCTAGTTCCACGTCGAGATACAGAGAAACCACCACCGTCCCATCCACCGGCCTTGTCAAGCCGGCCCACAACCTTACTCACGCGTGTGCCATTCTAAGCTGCTATGCATGAATCAAGCATTGTTTATGCCTTAATTGCTACAGCTGAGACCTCTGCGTCTCCTATTCCAAATCGGGTCCGACCATTATTGGTCGAATTTTCAGATGTTTTTCCTAATGAACTCCCACTTGGCCTTCCTCCGCTCTGCGATATCCAACATCGTATTGACCTCATGCCCGGAGCGACTTTACCTAATCAGCCGCACTCTCGGATGAGCCCTAGTGAGCATGAAGAACTACGTCGACAAGTCGAAGATTTACTAGCTAACGGATACTTGCGAAAGAGCCTAAGTCCTTGCGCGGTCCCCGCATTACTTGTTCCCAAAAAGGATGGGACATGGCGTACGTGCGTCGACAATCATGCCATCAATAAGATTACTGTCAGGTACCACTTTCCGATTCCTCGTCTTGATGATTTGCTTGACCAATTGTGTGGCGCATCTGTCTTCACAAGGCTCGATCTTAAAAGTGGTCATCATCAAATTCGCATTCGTCCCGGTGATGAACAGAAGACGACTTTTAAAACTCGCGAGGGGTTATTTGAATTAGGGCTGGCAATTTCAGACACGATACGAAAACGACACGAGATAAATGAGTTTGGACCGCACGATTATTAATTGGGTCGTTAATGGGCTGGCGAGAGATTATATGCCCTTACCCATTCCAACTCAACTGTGGACTAATGTAAGCATGGATTTCGTTCTTGGGCTCCCCCGTACACAACGAAGTCATGATTCTATCTTTGTAGTATATCATTTTTCTAAAATGGCACACTTTAAGAAGTCAACAGATGCAGTTCATGTCGCTTTGTTATTGATAACTCTAGGATTTATAGTTATTTTAGGCATTTCTAAGCTTATAGTTGGCTAATTCAAAGGCTTAGTTGTTTGTTTTTCTATTTTATTTGTTTAACTTTTGGTTCTTGTGATACACTCTATTAAGATTTGTTTGTGTTATTTCTGTGGTGTTTATGAAGAAAATTGAATAAAAAAAGGCCTGATTTGTGTCTAAGGTACGTTGGTGTGAATTGTAGGAATTGTGAAGAAAAATGCTGCAGCAAAATTTAACAGCTGGCAGTTAGTGATGACATCGGCGCATGACTCAAGAGAAATAAAATAAAGTACATGAGGATGAGTGTTGTGCACATATCATTTGATGCCTATACCAATCACTTGTTTACACAATAATGTCTTTGCTTGGTGCCCTAAAGAAGAATAGAGGACCTCCAGAAGAAAAGAAGCGCCGCCAAGAGGGAAGAAAAAAGAACTAAAGAAGAAAAGAAAAAAAAGAACTAAAGAAGAGAAAAAAAAAAGGACCGAAGATAGAAGAAAAGCAGAGAGCAAAAAAGGGTATACAGAGAGAAAGGAGAGTAGTATGGGGATGAGGTGATTTCTAGTCTTCATCATGTGGAAGCTTGCTTGAAGAAAGAGGAGAAGGGAAAAAAATGCTAAAAGCTCAAAACCAGTTGAATCTCTCTTCGATCTCATCTGTTGCATTTAATTTCTCTCTGAATTTGTAATTTTGTTGAACAATGAATTATAGTGATTATTTGGTTCTTGTAATTCCAATTATGAGTTAAGTAATTTCTTGCTAGGATTATTGATGGAACCAATGTTGTAAGAATGAATGCTAATTTGTGAATTTACTTGAGCTTTTATTTCTATTCATCCATGTGTGTTTATTGTTTATTTCTATTTTTGACTGGCCATCAACTATACGATATGCGACTTAGATTAATACTAGGAAGGTTAATTTGAGTTGGATCTAACATAGATGATGTAAGTTTAATATTCTTGTTTAAGTTTGTTGATTTGTGAATAATATAGGAATATATTGTTCATCTTGCATAACTCATTGAAACCGGTATTGAAATTTGCATTCTGAGAACTAGATTCACATAAGAATATGTTAGAAATTGTTTGAAGAATTTTTAGACATAATTAATTCGGAAGAATTTTATGCAGGGAACTAAGTTTCAGTTAACATGGGTAATAATGCTATAACATTTACTGTCAGACTTGCAACTGAGGGGAAATTAGTAATCCTAGTTTGTTTAAATCACTAATTACAATCCATAGCTGCATTTTTGTCATTTCTATCACATTTGGCTTCATTTATGTTGCACTTATTTCTTTACATCTGTAATGATCAAGAAAATTCCATAATTTAAATAACACAATTTATGTATTTAAGTCAAGGATTTTCTTAGAAAATATTATGCTATATTTTGTGAGTGAAGGATTTATGAAATTAATATCAGTATTCCTAAATTATGTAGCAGATTTCATGTTAAGTTCATGTTTTACAATCAAGTATATTTGATCGATAAATTCTCGTCGCAATCTAAGGCGGAAGAATTTTCAGTGCATATATAGTTTGAGAATCTTGATTTCAAGAATCTCCAAGCCCAACACGATGTTAGCAGCGTATCAAAAAATGCTCTGACATTTAAGAAAAGAAGAAAAAATCCTTAATTTCTGGACAGTTAGGTTGAAGTCACGAGAAAAATACTTTTAGTATAAGGATACAATGTGAGCTTAGGAGTTGACACTGTCGGTAACAATGTCATTTCCGGAATATAATGCATAAAAGTTAAATTTATAATTTTTTCAGTCTAGAATTAATTTCAAGATTTGAAACAGTTCGAAATATTACACGAGTAAGAATTTAATTTGATATCGAAGTAATCATAGATTAATATTGAATTATAAATAAGCAGTAAAAAAGGAATCATCAGAAATTGGAACTTCATGTCGGCTAAGTACTTCCTTACATTGAGTATAATTTTTATCTGTTTCAAGAGAAACTTAAGAAATGAGACAAAAGTACAAGGAGTAGGTTAAAATTTGGTTGGATGAGGTGTGATTTGATGGTGGAAGGTGAAGAGAAATCATGACATTTTTCCCACTCTTTTCTCTCATTTGGCTGGCCAAGCTTAAGGTGTTTTAAGAAAAATTTTAATTAATTAAGTTGGACACAAAGGCTTAATTAAAAGCTAAGAGGAGATTAAACAAAGGGCTATAAATACTAGATCATTAGTGTAAGCAACATTTTCCTCTTATTTGCTCATTCTTCTCTCATTTTCCTATAAACATAAAACCAGCCCTATCTCTGTCTCTTATGCTCTCTCTTTAATTTTTCTTCCACTCCCTTAAACACAAATACTAGCTTATTCTTCTCTCCTTTTCCTATAAACAAAAAACCGGCCCTATCTCTCTCTCTCTCTTATGTTCTCTCTTTAATTTTTCTTCCACTCCCTTAAACACAAATACTAGCTTAAGATTAAGAAGGAGAAGGAGGATCAAAGTGTTCTAAGAGGAGTTTAACCAATGATTATCTTTCCTTAAGGGTATAAACTCTAAAACCTTTCTCTTCTATTTTCTTTTCTAGCAAAGTTTAAGTTTGAGAATCCATTGATGTAATTTGTGATTCTCGAGGAAATAAGTTTGTAATGAGGGTGTGTGAGTTTTATGGTAGTTTTGGTGAGTATTGAGGTTAGTTTGATTAGTATTATGTGGTATATTTGTGCTTGGTATAAGTTTACTTATTTTGGTTAGAGATAAATTTTTTTCAGTTACTTTGAACGTGAAAATGAGGATCCTAGAGCAAGATTTTTCAGTTATTTTAATTTGAACGTATAGTTCTCGATGTTTTAAACTTTTTCTACGACTGTGAATAAATCCAGTTTTAACTTTAAATGCAAGTTTTAATCCATTTTTTAAAAACAGTGCATGTTGTCCAAAACAGTTTTAAAAAAAATGGCAGTCACTGTTTTCAGCTAAACGAGGCCTTTAGATGCTGAATTTTAGCTTTCTCTGAAAACGATAATTTTAGATCTCGACGAGACGAAGAATTGTCGTGAAGAACAGATTTTTAAAATCCGACTCTAAGATGTAGTAAAACACAGATTTTAGAAACTGCATAGTTTTAACTGAACAAAACTAACCCGGTTTTGGTTTTTAACAAACGTTTATCAAAGAACCCAAGATGTGATTTCAGTAAAATACTATGGTTCTAGACCTCACTTGAACGAGGAATAGTCATGAAGAAAGATTTCGAAAAAAGGGTTTATAAAACATAGTTTCACGGTGGTTTACAAACTAACCGTGAAATGACTTGTGGAATAGTTTCAGAAGTTGGTATTCGAAAGTGAATTTATTTAGAACTGATAATGGGATTGTAGTACTTGTAACTAAATAAGTAAGTAATCGGTTTTATGAAAATCGAATAATAGGTTCTTTTACAAACCTTAATAGTTTTCGAGCGACACCTAAATGGGAATTTACGAACCAATACGTTAGACCATTAGAATTACAAAGATTAGATACGGGTCGAATGCCATAATTACTTCAAGAGCTCCCGCTCAAATCTAAATTTCAACGGTCTAGAGTTAGAGTGCCTTTATTTAGTCTTTAGGCCAAATTGGGCCTTAATGATAGAACAAGTCCAATAAGGTAAATTATGGAGAATAAGCTACTAGATTGGATAATTGATTTTTCAATCGAGGAAGGTGTATGTTAAGGGCAACTAAGAAAAATACGATTTTGAGGATTTAATTAATTATTTATGGAGGATTGATTTATATGCAGTGACTATATCAAATGGACACTTCATAGTTTAGAAGTAATTTATTTTTATAATTTTGAGAGTGCAATTCCAAGTTTATAGTGGAGTAACTATTAGAATTAATAGAACTGATTAATTAATTAAAGTGTTTAATTAATTATTAATTTTATTGGAGCTCGGGATTATAGGTCAATTAGTCCCCACGTCGTCCTTGTAATTCTACCAGACACAAAGGGTAAAATGGGAATTTTAGAATTACAGAATTCTAAAATTAAACACTCAAAAATAATTAATTGAGAATTAATTTTTATTTAAATAATCTGATTATTTAAATTTAAATTTGAATTTGAATTGTGAACATAATTTAAATTTATCATTTTAAACTTATTTGATAAGTTATTCAATTTAGAATTCAAATTAATTTAAGTTTTACTTAAATTAGAATTTGCATTTGAATCAAAATTGGATTGTGGGATAAATGATGATTTTCTCTTGCTTCCCTATTTGTATTTGGCGCCTACCACAAGGATAGGATCACCTAGGTTGGCCGGCCATCTTGAGGATAAAGAGTATGAGACTTTTGTTTCAAATTCAAATAGGAGATAATTAATAAGCTTTATCTTGGAGATAAATATTGGATTTCTTCTAGGAGTTTGACTTCTACTCTATAAATAAGAGAATAATAGAAAATTGTGAGACATAATTTTTGGAATAATTTTTTGACCTAATATTTTATTGTGGCCAAAATTCTCTTATTGTGGAAAGGAAAAATTTTTCTCCAAAAATTCCACATCGTGCATGCATTGGTGTTTGTAGAAATTTGTGTGTTTATCCTAATCCATTTTGTCTCAGGTGTGCCCACACACACGTCTTCGTGGATTCTAAGAATTAACATGGAAGACATTGGTTTTCTAAACCCAAGGCTTTGGAGCAAGAATTGTTCGAGGTCAAAGAACTCCAATTATCATCCTAATTGGCCGCCAGGTATTATTCCTATTTGAGTTCTTAATAAATAAATTAATGTAATTAATTTATTCTTGTATAAATTAATATAATCTATAGAGTATCTCAAAGGTTTTATGAAAATTTTTGTTATACTTGATCCACTATCCCCACGTTTCCGCATCCGAATTCGATTCGAAAACTAACAATTGGTATCAGAGCGGTCTATAGACGATATTAATTTATGCTCCGATTATGTGATAATCAAAATTAATATATTAAATATGTGATATTTAATTATGTATATATGTGATGGGTAGGCACTTGCATTTATGGATGTTTGTATTTAATTCATGTTGATGAATATATGGATGGTGGATTTGGTCGTTAATTATATGGTTCCATGGAACGCATTAAATTCGTTCAAGTTAAATTATTTGTATTTTTATTCGGGATTAGAATTATTGTAATTCTAGGGTTTGGGTAGATTAGGGTTTTGATTTTGAGTCAAAAGAAGCCCGGAGAATCCCCTTATGCAGCCCCGGACACCCAACCAGAAAACTGCCTAAACTGCCCCGAACAACCCCTTCCGCGCGCGCCCAGGTAAGCCCCATGCGCGCGCACAGACCGCCCGCGTACGCGCCCAGAAAACCCCACGCGCACGCACAGGCCACCCAGCTCGTGCCAGTACGCGCCAGCACACGCCCAGCGCGCATGACCCTCAGCTAGCGCGCACCAGAGACGGCTCATGGACTCCGATCGAGCCCGAGAGTTTCTGAAACCATCGTTCTGCGTGTTGAAGGATCCGGAAGAGTTCCGAGCCTCGAAGAAGGTGGAATCCGACCCGAAGAACGAAGCCAAAGAAGGAAGAATTCAAGAATCGAATAGCCGTTGATGTAACTGAAGAAAATAATTATTGTAATTATTTATTTATTCGATTTGGTTGTAATTTATATTTTCCATGTGACCCGGTCAAATCTATCTCAATAGCCGATTGCATGTATTTATATTTTATGTTGAT